GGGTGAACACAACAATAGAAGAAATGGTTCCACAGGGTTTTCTTGAAAGTACAAAGGGGAAAGGGATGGTTATTGAAGGATGGGCTCCACAAAGTCTAATTTTGAACCATTCAAGCATTGGAGGTTTTGTAACTCATTGTGGATGGAACTCGATTTTAGAAAGCATGAGTTTTGGCATACCAATAATAGCCATGCCTATTAATCATGATCAACCATTGACTTCAAGATTAGTGGAGGAACTTGGCATAGGGGTGGAGATTTTGAGAGGTGAAAATGGGAAAATAATGAAAGAAGAGGTGGCAAAAGGATAAGGAAGGTGGTAGAGGAGAAGACTAGGAAACATATAAATATGAAGGCAATGCAATTGAGTGAGAAGATAAAATTGAAAGGGGAGAAAGCTATTGATGAAGGGGTTAAAAAGTTGTTAAAGCTATTATGTTGATTTATAAGAGAATGATGATGATGAATTGGAATGAATTTGGACACCATAAGTATTTAGATATTAATAAAGATTGAAATAAGAGAATTTAATATACAAATTGTATTGAATGATGTAATCTAGAGATAGGTTTCTTAAGATCATATTGTCTTATATGAGTTCAAACTTTAGTTGAACTATTTTCCTTGCTGTATTGTGTATTTAGAGAGGATTATACCTCTTAATCGAAATACTGAAAAATATATACAAAGCTTAAATTATTTCAGACATAAACAAGACATTTCAAAGCTAAAATTCACCACCAAAGGAGTGTAATGGGATGAATGAAATTATATTCCTTCACCTTTTTCAAAGGTCTCAAGTTTGAACCCTAGAAATGGAGAAACTCTGACATTTTCCCTTTCACGAGCTAGCTACATAACACAAATCTATATTAGTTGGAATAATGAACATTGGCCACGTGATAATTAGTTATACATATGTATTGTTGGGATCTATGTAGTTTTGATAATTGACAAAGAAAAATGGAACGTATAGTCAAGTCGGTCAAAGGCACATTGTCTCAATTAGTTGATTACAAAACAATTATGATAATCTTAAAGAAGACAAACAAGTGTTGAATGATAGAGTTATAGTTTAACTAGAACACCAATGAAGAGATAAGTTTAACTAAAGGAAGAGTCCAATTGGAAGTAGAACTCAAAGTCAATAGATATCGAATGAAAGAGGAGTTTAAGGAGAAGAAAAACTTTCTAAAATAGATATGTGCTTAAATAGACGAGAACTCATTCAGAATACTCACACACTTAAAGAGCAAAAAAAAAAAGCAATTGGCATATTGGCTTTACTGTGCTGTTGAATATTGATTAAACACTTTGATGAACCAAGTCATATTACATAGTTTATGTTCTAGGAGTTTTTCTCTTTGTGTTGAGTACTAATGCTTCTTTAGTTCAGTAATTTATAAACTGAAGTAAAATTATAGTCTTCAAGTTAGGGGCAACTCAAGACTTGGAACACATACCTTGGAAGGTTTGTGTGCTAATGACAAATTAGAGTTTATAATTTTTTAGATTACATAAGTTTATAATCTTTTGTTGCAAGGCTTATTGAATTTGAGAGTTACATATCATGGTTTTTACACCTTTCTGAGTTGACTGTTTTCACGTAAAATAGTGTTTTCTTAATTAACTGTTTTATTAAAACATGTCAAAACAATCCATTTCACCTACACAAAGAGTTAAGTTAAGCAATGAAATTGTAGATCCCATAGAATACCGTGTATATACTTGCCACATGATGATTGCGACATGCTTAATTATTATTTTCCAAAGAGAATGAAATAGTTGGCTAAGACAGTCATATTAATCCATCGAACCCATTATTTCTTCATTGTCTATGTACATTTATCCTTAATAATTCCCCTTTTTATCAGTTCTTCGGTTATTGATTAAATTTATTTTAGAACTAAGTGAAATGAAACAAATTTGTCCTGCAGTAATAACTGGGGTCAAATACATTTTTATCGTTAATATTTATTGGTATTAAAAAACAAATAATTTGCCCTTATTTTTAAACGCTTTTGACTTTTAAAATATTACGTCTTCTAATACTTTTCTTATCAAAATTGGACTCTCTCACTTCCACAAAGCTTAATTACGTGAACAATATTGTTATTTCTATTACAGGAACGTGTCACATTATCGGATAAAGATCCGGTCAAGTATAATTAGGTCAAGTAATGTTCAATGGCCTCATAGATTCATGCCATGTGTATTATGTAATAATTTATGGTTGAGATCCATTTAAAATATATTCATCTTAATAATAAAAACAATAAACCCGTCAACTATTTTTATTTTTTAAAACTATCAAATAAAGAAATTAAGTGTACCCTAGCTAATATTTTCAGAAAAAAAAAAGATTGGCGGGAATATGCGGACTTCCCGACTTTTTTACCCGTCAAACCTCGTACTTGTATTGGATTTTTAAAATTATACTAATTTTAAAGAATTTGACACTTTTGAAGAATTCGAGTAAATATATTTTTATAATTATTTGAAACCTCCAAATAAGTTTTTTTTTTTTAATGTATTATCATGTTCTTTAGTTGAATTATTATTTAGAACTCAATGATGTTTTTAAGTTTGATCTATTTTTGGAGATTACTTCAGAATTTGGAGAAAGCATGTGCGAAATTACTCCTGAAGAAGTTTGGCGGGTAAAAGGTCAGGAAGTCCGCATATTTCCATCAATCTTAATTTTTTTTTCTTGAAAAATATTAGCTTGGGTACACTTAATTGCTTTATTTGATAGTTTAAAAAAATAAAAATAGTTGACATCTTTGTTGTTTTTATTATTATAATGAGTATATAATTTAAATGGTTCTTGTCACGACCCAGACCATCGTGATTGGCACCCACACTAACTTTCCGGTGGGAGAACCACTACTACAACCCAAACCAAGAAACTAAACAAAAACTAAGGCATTTAAGTTACGGAAGCAAGTTTATATATATATATATATAAATGTATATGCAATTTTGCATCTCAAGAAATTTAAAAGTACACTTTACAGAAGGAAGATGAAAATTTTTCAAAAAAATAACATACAATGGTGCTTTTTAATTAATTTTTAAAAATAAATCTTCTCTAGAGATCGAACCCTCAACCTCACAATCAAAAACCAACACTCGAACTAGTGAACCATCCACTAATTTGTTATCATGTGTTCCATTATTTGAAAATTTACATATTTTAAGAATTATACAAATAATATATCGAGTTTTGTCGGATGACCACGGGTTTCGATGTCCCATTTTTTACACTTAAATTCTCCCTTGCACACAACCAATGCGGGTTCGAATCTCGCTGCCAACACCTAATTTTTTGCTTGCTCCTTTTTTTCTTTTCTTTTCTTTTTTGTCTTTTTCATTAGTGTGTAAAGGGCTTAATTTTTTCTCTCCATTCATTCTTATTTATTTACTATTCTTTATTAATTCAAATTGACTTCTTTTCATAATTAATTTTTAATTTTTTTACTTTCTCTTGCACTAATTATTAATCTCTTGATATGCGTGTTACATGTTTATTTTTTATCAACTAATGAGTACTGAATTATGAACGTCAAATAAATATTATTAAGAATATATTTAAATAGTAGTTTTTAAAAAATACAAGTTTTAAAAATGATGAATATTATTATTAGAGTTTTTTTTTAATTTAAAGGTTCTATCGATCTTCACCGACGTTCTTGCTAAGTAAGATGACTAGGCTGAAACTACAATTTTTATTCTTTTCTTACTATATATCTCCAACAACACATAAAGTCAATGGTATATGAATATATTATGTTAATATTATTAGATGGTTTATACAAGCTCAAATTTTAATGTGAAAAATCTTTTTTTTCTCAAAGTTTCAGTGAATAAGACATCTAATTCCAAAAATGAAATAAAAATTGAATTGTTTAGTTATCTCTAATCTCAGGATATCTAAAAGAAAATATTACTAACATGCATATTTGATCGATTTGTTTATAAAATAAAATAAAATCAATAACCCGAATTGTAACCTAAAATTAAAGCAACCGATCCTTTTATCTTGCTTGAACGTTATGACACCCACTGACCTCCAAATCCTAGATCCACCTTTATATATATGATTATGTTCTATATAATAGTAAATCATTAGCCGTCACGCAACTACAATACATACAGAAATTTGAACTTTATTTGAAGAGTACACTTGTCATGCCTAGTATAACTAGTATAATTAATAGAATTTTTAAAAAATATTTTCCATATAGCTAAACTTTTTCTAACCTATAAAACTATGATATATGCTTTATAAATTTTTCCATAATTATTCCATTCATGGAGAGAATTAAGGAAAATAGTCCTAGTATCCTTTTATTTCCATGGTTAGGTTTTGGCCACGTAAATCCCTATTTGGCACTAGCCAAGAAATTATCAAAAATGAATTTTCACATATATTTTCTTTCAACACCAATTATTCTCAAATCTATCAAGGAAACCCTAGATAAAAAAAACTCATCTTATAATAATCTCTCCATACAACTTGTTGAATTTCACTTGCCTTATTTGCATGAGTTACCTCCTCACTACCATACAACTAAAGACCTCCCTCCCCATCT